TCCCCTTACCTTGGAGACCCATATCTGATTTTAAACTGAAGTCAGTTGGAAAATAGGACTCAGATTATAGAAATTTGTTTTATACACAAATTAATTATAATATTCCTCTTGCACAAAAATTGTTAGTATATGTTTTTCAACATAAATATCTGTCTGGAAATTTCTGCCTTGGATTGAATTTACCAGATTTCTCAGGACCTAACCATTTTCTTTTCAAAGGAACTAAACTAGAGTAGAATTGTGTGCCTTTTTTGCTAAGGTCATACCATCTTAAGTCTGTGGGCCACAGATGCAAATAAGAAGTGGCGGGGACCCACAGGGTCACATTTCCCTGCTGTAACCTGGGGCAATCATTAAAAGTGTTAGATTGCATCAGGAAGATTAGTCCTAATTTGACCTGATAGTAGAAAGCTCTGTAAAGTGAATTGTGACAGTAACTATTACAGCAGCTGGGCACAAAGAGATCATTGATCTTCTTTCACAAGAATCATGGAAATTCTTCAATGCTTTCCTCAAAGCCCAGGAATCATTTGCATCTGTAAGGCAGATATCATTGCCTGTGAACTCCTTGACCTGCAGATTGGAGGATTCGCAGAGAACCACACTTCATTTTGAGATTTTAAATCCCCTGGTTCCATGCGATCAGAAAAGTCATTATCCAAGTCCCCAGCCCCACCCTTCTCCAATATGCATACAGTACTTTGTAAGGTGGCCTCAGGTGTGTTAAGTCAGAAAATCTGTATTTCTCTCATGGCATGAAATAACAACTGGTCAACTTGGTTTTAGATGAAATTACATTATCACATGGACTTGTTTAATTGTGAACATAATAAGGTACAGAAATAGCAGAAATCTATAACACTAATATTTATTATTTATTTTCCTTTATCATGTCAATTTGTGCTTCCCTTTCAACAAGCTGTACATTTTGTAGGCTTTGACCATGAGGGCACAAGATATGAGGAGAAATGGATAATCAAGGTTCAAAGTGTTCCTAACTTTATCCTCAGGAATAAAAGCAAGGACTATAAGAAATGTATAAGAGTTTAGGAAACTTCTCACTTTGCTTTGTTAATTATTTGTGACTCCCTCATTTATTTTTCTTGCAGTGATTATCAGTAAAACCCTTAAAAAGGTAGACATCCATGTGCTTATTTTAGGGATTGTAAGTAAGTTAACAGTTAAACAAAATGCATTCTAGGCAGTTTTCAGAAGATGAAAGGAACCCTCAAAATAGAGTAGGTGGTAGTTTTTTTAGGTAAGGAAAACAAGCTGAATCCCCAGGAGCATTGCAAGGAATGATTCTCAGGCTAAGAAGTGCCCCCTGGATTTAGGCCTGTCAGGAATTTATAGATGATTCCTGTTTTGCATAGAAGAATGAATTAGATAACCTCAAAAGTTTCTTCCTAATCTATTTTCAGTTTCTTCATGTATAGTAGAAAATGGTAGAAATAACTTCCATAGAGATTTAAAGATCAATTCTATAGTTTGGGTGAGAAGTACAATATTGTAATTCATAATATCTTACTTTTAAATCATAATTGAAATTTTAGCAACAAGAATTCTTGAAATTATAGTGGTGGTTTTCTTTGTCAAATTTAAATAGTTTTGATGGTGCAATTTTACTTAAAACAGCATTCAACATTGATCATATGTACATGACACAGAAAAGATCCTATTAGTACCTATTGATTTCCTGATTTATTGATTTATTTAGTGCTGTCCTAAGGGAGGACTGAAACAATACAATAAAAGTAGCTAGGAAGCAGCTAGTAGTTAGGATACAATAAAAGTATCATAGGATTTTGATACTTCTATAGCCCCTGTTCTCCAACTACAAATCTTTAGAGACTGTATTGGGTCCTGAACAATATAAAATATGGATTTGTATTCAGTGAATCAGCTTACTGAATGGCATTTCTCTTTCTCCTTGATATGAGATCTTTTTCTATAAGAAACAAAGCCTGAGATGGTATGCTGAATTATCAAGATTTTCACATATCTATATCACATGTGAGGTGGATACACAGAAAGTACTTGAAATCTCAGTCTTACTCAGTGCCTAATCAAAAATCTGTATATTAGTATGAGGAACAAAATACCTAAATCCCCAGAGCATCATCTGGGACTAAGTAAAAGGCAAGCATGATTATAGTCAAGTGTCTATGACTGAATACCTTTAACTCATCAGATTTTTTTCCTGGACTCCTTCAACTTTTAGAAAAAGGTACAAACATCAATGAAAAGGTTTAATGAAGAAAGTAGGATATATCCTTAGATCAGGTTATACCAATTCAGAACAGTCTCCTCACATTGTACATCAACAATTCTATAAATTAAAAATGGAAATTCAAAATCATAATAATAGCAGTTAATATTTATTGAGCACCTGCTATATGCCAGATTTGATGCAGATTATTCTACATACAGGATCTAATTTAATCTTATTAATAGTCCCATGAGTAAGGTACTGCTATTAACCTCCTTTTACAGATCATGGCTCTGGCTCTGAAGCTCTGTAAGATCCTTAGTCATCTACTTAATAAGCTAGAGAAATGAATTAATATATTATTCTGTAAAATTAACAAATGCAAAAAAATAAGAAAAAATTCCCTGATTACGCATTATTAATCAGAACCTCCTAATCCCTGAGCATTCCTTTTGATCAAGATTTTACCATCCTGCAGCATAGTACTCAAGTGATGAAGATGCATTTGAAATCTAATTATGTCAAGTAATGTTGATATAATCAGCATCAGAACTTTTAAATTGTGGCATTAATTCTTGATTATCAGCTGCCAAGTCTTTAACTGCATGAGTTAATAGAATGAGTCACCTCTCCCTACCATACTGAGCATTCATTCATTCATTCATTCAATACCCATATAGGGCAGGCATGGTACTGGGCACCAGGGATAGCTGGAGGGGGCATCTTTTTGGGGGGAAGCTTACAAACTTACAGGGGAATAGTTTATTTTAATTTACTTAGAATAATAAGATAATCATAATTTTAAATATATATATTATACAAAGTATTATATATGTATATAGTGTGCTTATCTTTGCAACAACTCTGTGCAATGTTATAAACCCCCTTTTATACATTATGAAAATTAAGACTAAGGGAAATTACAAGAATTGCCAAAAGCTACTCAGCGAGTAAAGGACAGAGCCAGCATTTGAACCCTGATATATCAGGCTTCAAAGCACATACTGTTTCCACTATACCATTCAATCTTCCATGGAACTTGTTTTGGTCAGTATGATATTGCAGAAAGAAATACCAAGAAAGGTTTGGAATAGTACACTAATCATATTTGACTCTGGGACTACTTAGGCAAAGGAAACATCTTTATTTGTAAATTATATAAACATCTGGTGTTCTTTGAAAATAGTCGTGGTCATGATCTCAGTGTTTTCTAATACAAAGGAATTGGTGTTTGTTTCTTTAGTTCTAGTCATGGTAGGGAATTAATAGGACATAGATGTGATACAGTGAATGGTTGACTTAAGATGCAAAAGCAAATTTTCATTATTTCACTTACTCAGATGATATAAAGGAAAGATATTTGACAAGTCCCAGGAGATATTTAATGGAGGTGTTCCAAGTGGAATCTGATTGCTGAAGAAATGGTACTTGTTGTGTGGGCTGAAACGTTAGTATAGGGATACTTTTTATTAAAAACAATAATATAAAGTCATTTTGTTAGAACCTTAGCATTCATTTTACTGAAACTCGATTGACCTTTGCCTGACTGGATCCCAAGATTTTATTGATATTTCACAACATTGCCTCAAGAATTATTATATAGCTCTGGGTCATAGAAAAATTGAGAGTTAAAGAATGAGCCACGGCAGGCCAACCTGATTCCTCTGATAGGATTAGAGAACCGGTGGATAAAAGGCTCAGGAGAGATTGCCTAACGTTGGGTTTTAACAAGGCTTTTGATTCCACGTTTCAGGGAGTTTTAATTGAAGCACTTGAGAATTCAGGTGCTGCTGCCAGAGGAATAACAAACTATCTCTGCTCATCCCTGGCTGAATTGTGTAAGACTTAGCAGAAAATGACTTTTGCCATTTTATGTGACGTAACAGCTACTCGTAAATGACCATGCTTCTGACATCATTTGAAGAAGATGTGATTAACACTTCCCAAAACTTGGGTCATAACTCCCCAACACCTCAACTACTGAATAAACCCCCTTTGCTAGTTCTGTATCTTTGTTTCCTTTTCTCATTGCTATGTAATTATGGTTTTCTTTTTTGGAAAACTCTGTATCATCATTGGAAGAGACTTTGACACCAGGATAGTCTAATGAGTATATCTGTATAAATTCAACAACCCTTGCAATGAAAACATGGGAAAATGTCAAGGGATAATCAATGGAATACGTGGCTGAGCTTTTCAAAGAAAGAGTGGGTTCAACTATAGCCACATTTAAAGAGGGTCCTATCACCCTAGCCAGTTTGGCTGAGTGGTTAGAGCATCAGCCCGCAGACTGAAGGGTCCCAGGTTCGAGTCCCGCCAACGGCAGGTACCATGGTTGCAGGCTCCGCCCCAGTCAGGGCAAGAGCGGGAGGCAACCAATCCGATGTGTCTCTCTCGAATCGGTGTTTCTCTCTCTCTCTGAAAAGCTAAGGGAAAAAATATTCTTGGGTAAGGATAAATAAATAAATAAATAAATAAATAAATAAATAGGGTCCTATCTCTTTAAGGGAGAAGGGAGAAGATAACTGACAGTTTGTGGACAAACGTTAATTTCCCAGAAACAGGAGGGATCTTACAAATGACAGAGCCACAGTCTTATAAGAACCTTTATTTTCATTGTATTTGTCAATAAGATCTGTAAAAATTATAGAGGGCAACTTGTTTCAAGAATTCACTGGTTACTCCTAGACTCTTAAGATTTAGAGTTTTACTCTAGTGACTCATATAATAAAATCTGGAGACATCCCAGTCCTTAATGGAGTCTGGAATTTGGCTTCTTTTTCTTCTTTAGGATTGAACCAGCTGCCCTTTGACCCTGCCAACAACAACGAACCCCTGCAGTTTGGTAGTGCCGGTGGCCCTTTGGTCACAGAAGGCCTCATTGAGAATGGAGGGGAGTCAAGCAAGAAAAGAAAGAGAGCAAATACTCCTTCAGGTAAGCTAGGCGGTAATGCACTTTCTTAAGCCAGTACTATTGATTCAACATTTTCGTAGAGCCTGGTATGTGGCAGGCCTTGTGCTAGAATTTGTAGGAACTATGTAAATGAGAAAGTCCCCTGCCTTCAAGGAACTCATGGTGAGATGGGAGAAGGGGGGACACATACATAAATAACTCTAATTTAAAAAATCATCAGTGCTGTGGTGAATGTGTAAAAGAAAGAAAACCGTAGGAGCTTCCTGTGACACTTCACAGCAGATATGACATTTGTAGCTGGCCCTTGAATGGCTAGGTTTGAGACAGGAAGAGATAAGTAAGGAACATTGATTTAGGTATAAGGAATTGTATGAGTGAATGGTTTCACTGTACATTTTCCTTTATATGTGCATGTGGCAGGCCCCCGCACTTTTACTACTAATGAAGATATTTGCATCTGTCCACCCTACCCGTTTCCCGAAGTAGACGCTATGCCCAAATGTGTTTTATGCCCTCTTAGAACAGCTGATGAATAGATTTTCCTGAATCCTCTATAACAGCCTCCCATTGGCCTGTTCTCATGTTAAATTCTCTAAAACGAATGGGGAAACAATAAGAGAACCAGATCTTAATTGATGATTTGATATTTTAAAATTTCATCTCTTTGTTGCTTGACTATTAATTTGAAAATAGTATCCTTAGTATATAGAGACTGATCTGAGAATTTGGGATGGACCTAACAGACCTATTCATGGTGTTTTTGTTTTTGTTTTGTTCTGTATTTTTTTACCATTACTTCCCTTTTTTAATCCTCACTTGATGATAAGTTCTTGTTGATTTGAGAGAGACAGAAACATCAATGTGAGAGAAACATCAGTTGGTTGACTCCTCTTCACACTCCGACCAGGGATCAAACACAAAACTTAAGTATGTGCCCTGACTGGGAATCAAACCCTGCAACCTTTTGGTGCACGGGACAAGGCTCTAACCAACTGAGCCACCCAGCCAGGGCTTTTTCCTGTTACTTTTACATTTAACTTACAACATAAAACATGTTTACAAACATATAACATCATATCTGACTCTTAGATCATAGGTCTTTCTGCTTATAAATCAAGATTTTTAAAAAATATACTTTGAGTTTTAGAGAAAGAGAGAGGAAGGGAGAGGGAGACACAGAGAAACATTGATGTGAGAAGGAAACATCAATAGGCTGCCTTCTGCATGCCCCGACCAGGGATTGAGCCCACAACCCAGGCATGCGCCCTGACCTGGAATCAGACCTGCAACCTTTCTGTGCAAAGGACAATGCCCAACTAACTTAGCCACACCAGCCGGGGCAAGATATTTTTTTTAATTTTTATTTATTTATTTTTTATTGTTGAAACTATTACAGATATCCCCCATTTTCCCCCATTTTGCCCACCTCCACCCAGCCCCTAGCCCCACCCCAGGCCTTCACCACACTATTGTCTGTGTCCATGAGTTATGCATATATACATACGAGTTCTTTGGTTAATCTCTTCCTTTCCTCCCCAACCCCTTCCTCTCTGAGATCTGTCAATCTGTTCCATGCATCCATGCCTCTGGACCTATTTTGTTCATCAGTTTCATTTGTACATTAGATTCCACATATAAATGAGATCATGTGATATTTGTCTTTCTCTGACTGGGTTATTTCGCTTAGCATAAAACTCTCCAGGTCCCTCCATGCTGTTTCAAAGGGTAAGAGATCCTTTTTTACAGATGCATAGTATTCCATGGTGTAAATGTACCACAACTTTTTTATCCACTCATCTACTGATGGGCACTTGGGCTGTTTCCAGATCTTAGCTATTGTAAATTGCACTGCTATGAACATAGGGGTGCATATATTCTTTCTGATTGGTGTTTTGGGTTTCTTAGGATATATTCCTAGAAGTGGGATCACTGGGTCAAACGGCAGTTTCATTTTTAATTTTTTGAGAAACCTCCATACTGTTTTCCATAGTGGCTGCACCAGTCTGCATTCCCACCAGCAGTGGACTAAGGTTCTCTTTTCTCCACACCCTCGCCAGCACTTGCTGTTTGTTGATTTATTGATGGTAGCCATTCTAGCAGTTGTGAGGTAATACATTATTGTAGTTTTAATTTGCATCTCTCTGGTGATTAGTGACATTGGGCATTTTTTTATGTCTATTTGCCACCTATGTCTTCTTTGGGAAAGCGTCTATTTAGGTCCTTTGCCCATTTTTTAATTTGATTGACTGTCTTCCTTTTGTTGAGTTGTATGAGTTCTTTATATACTTTGGCAATTAACCCCTTATCAGGTATATCATTGGCCAATATGTTCTCTCATACAATGGGTCCCTTTTCATTTTGATGATGGTTTATTTTGCTGTGCAGAAGCTATTTTAGTTTGATGTAGTCCTATTCATTTATTTTTTCCTTTGTTTCTCTTGCCCTAAGAGATGTATCAGTGAAAATTCTGCTACGTGAGATGTCTGCAATTTTACTTTGTATGTTTTCTTCTAGGATTTTTTTGGTTTCACAACTTACATTTAAGTCTTTTATCCATTTTGGGTTTACTCTTGTGTATGATGTGAGTTGGTAGTCTAGTTGCATTTTTTTTTTGCATGTATCTGTTCAATTTTCCCAACACTATTTATTGAAGAGACTATCTTTACTCCACTGCTTGCTCTTGCTTCCTTTGTCAAATACTAATTGAGCATAATGGCATCAGTCGATTTCTGGGGTCTCTCTTCTGTTCCATTGATCTATATACCTGTTCTTGTGCCAGTACTGGGGTATAAATCAAGATATTTGTTAACTACAAGTTTGGAATACAAAAATACAGTAAAACATTAACTAGTTGGAGCCCTCAAGAAAATAGTGATTCTTAGAGAGCTGTATTTTCTGGACCCCTGGAAACGCATAGTATATAGCCAAGGAACTGGCCTGAGTCCTAATCCCAGCCTGTCTCTGTCTGTGGCCTTGGTTTGGTTCTTTAACCTCTCCGAGATTCACTTTCCTCAACTGTAAAGTGGAAGTGATACTAAAACCGACTTCTTTATCTATGAGTCTGTTTCTATTTCGTTTGTTAATTTATTTTGTTCATGAGATTCCACATATGAGTGAAATTATATGGCACTTGTCTTTCTCACTGGCTTATTTCACTTAGCATAATACTTTCAGAGGAGCGGGGTGTTACAGGGCTGAGAGAAAAAGGTAAAAGTATTGAGGAAAAAACAACTCATAGACACAGACAACAGTATGGTACCTACCAGAGGGAAAGGGGCGAGGGTGGAAGTAGAAGAGGGTCTAGGGGCAATAAATGGTGATGGAAGGAGACTTGACTTGAGGTGGTAAACGCACAATACAATATACAAATGATTTATTATGGAATTGTACACCCGAAACCTATATAATTTAATTAACCACTGTCACCCCACTAATTTCATTTTTAAAAAGTAAAAATGAAAATAAAACCTACTTCTTAGCATTGTTAGTTAAATTTAATGAAATTATACAGGTAAAGAGCTTAGCATGATATCTGCGTATATTAATCACTGAATAAATGTTGCTTTTATTTTATTATTATCATATGATAATATGTATTTCATCTTTTTAAGCATCACATTTTCAGGTTAACCATTATGGCTACAAGTCATATAAACTTAACTTCCATTTTAAAATAAATTTATTTTTCAATTACAGTTGACATACATTATTATATTAGTTTCAGGTATACAACATAGTGATTAGACATTTATACACCTTACTAAGTGATCATCCCCTATAAACTTATCTGCCTATTTAAGGCATATATTTAACATAATCTAAACTTCGCTTGATCATTTAGAGCAGAGGTGGGGAATATCTGGCCTGAGGGCTGTATACAGCCTGCAGAATCATTTGGTCTGGTTCTGCCAAGGCAGCCACAGGCGGGACTCGAAATTCAATAGATCTAGGAGCTTTTTTCATAGCTAATTTTTAAGTTGATAATTTTGTATGGCCCGCAAATGATGTTATAAATATCCAAGTGGCCCTTGGCGGAAAAAAGGTTCCTCACCCATGATTCAGAGACACAATTTTAGTCATTAGCTATTGTACTGCACTATAATACTCTATTATAGTTTTCAGGGTTTTGTAAGGAATATAGGTCTTGTAATTCTACACTAAATTGTCCTAGACTGGTGTTTTTTTATTTATTTACAGACACATTTTACACATGTCCTGTCTCCTTTCTGCAGTCTGCAGTCACTTCTAGTTTCTCTGTGTCTTTTCAAGTAGCAGCCCGTTTTCTCCTAATCAATTAGGAACTTTAAAAAGCCCACCAGCTCTCCAAATTGGTGTTACAGATTAGTATGTTAAGTAAGAGTTAAATCAGCTGTAAAAGAACCTGCTATGGAGAGAGTTACAGGACTTAGGGTATCAACTTCAAGACATCTGTGTTGGTTGCTCTAAGGCCTTTTTTGATCACTTACTAGTTTTTCCACTGTGTTGGTGATAACTGATGTGCTAGTTTAGAGTAATACCTCCTGAACTGTTTTTAACTCATGAGGGAAAGAAGATATGCATTAATCTGAGCTGTGAACTAACTTTAAACAATTGCAGTTTTATTTCTAATGAGCATATTCAGTTAGACCAAAGTATCTGTTGCTGATATAGGATTTTAGCAGTAGATTATGCTAATCTATAATTAGCCGAATCAATTTGCATTCAAATAATGAATAGGCTGAAGTTCTTAAAAAACAGTATGTTCTTTAAAATAGGCGAAAAGGGCCCCTGGCAGGCAGAATCAGCTCCCTTGAAATCTTTCTCACTATTTGTTTACTGAACCCTTTCTTTGTAAGTATGAAGGTAACTAGCCCAGGTTAAATTACCACAAATTTCAAATTACTGTAGCCCAAGTTAATGAGGTTTTAATATATAGGGAGTGTCTTATAATTGTTCAGCTGGCAATCTTACAGTATTGTAAATGCACAGATTACTTTATAATAGTATTTTCTTCCTATGCAGTACTAGAAAAAAGG